ATTTAGTAGGAAATTGAAAGATTTCTGAACGGTCTAAAATGATGTGGGAAAAACCATTAGGTAGAGAAACATTTGACTTCTTCACCTGGAAAGGGCTAAAAGCAATCAATTACGCTGTCCTTGCCTATTTGTAGCTTCCTTTTGAGCTGTGTGTGATATGCATGGGATGTTCAGAGTTTATTTCCTTAAATTAATACTTGAATGTTTCTTTAGTGATTTGAAACCTAATATTCCTAAATATTCCTTTTCCTGATTATGAAAACAGTGTATGATCATGTCTGAAAATTTGGAAAAGATGGATACAAGTGCAAAGAATGGAAACCCATCAAGTCCTAGAGATAATACTAAGGTTCTCTGTTTTGGTTTAGGGGGCTTTTGTAGTCTTAGAGGAAGGGCATCTTGGTTTTCAGTCCACTACTCTCAGATCTAATATTTTCTTACTTCAGAACGTAACAGTTCTGTTCCTGTCACCCTGTGGCTTTATGGCTTTTATTTTCCTGTAAGGAGTCAGGGTGAGAAGGAGGGCAAAGGCTGGGCTGATGGCCTGTTGATCCTGCTAGCTGTGGTGATGGCCAGGTGAGCCACGGTGACGCGGTGAAGGCGGAAGGGAACATGCTGAGGGCGAGCTGTTCCAGTTCTCTCTCCTCCCCCACTGTGTATTTGTTTCTGATTTAAGAAAAGATTTATTTGTTTATATTCTCCAGGTCTGTGGTGCAAGCATATGCCACATGTGTGAGTTCCGGGACAGCCAGAGCAACATGGAGAAACCTTGTCTTGAAAACAAAACAACTACAACAAAATAGTTGTATGTAGTATTTGAAAATTAGAGTGATACTTAAGTCAGTAATAAAAAGGCAGATAACCCAATTAGAAATATGAAAAGAATCTGGATGGTTCTCAAAGAAGATACACAAGCGGCCAACTAAGTGCCTTAAAAAGTTCTTAATGTTATCAGCCAGTAGGCAAATGCAAGTCAAAACCACAGTGCAAGGGCTTGGTCAGTTAGGAAAGTGTTTGCTGCATGAGCACGAGCATTTGTGGATTCCAAGCAACGGGACTACGCATACGTTATAAAAGGCCCCAACTCACAAAGCAGTTACCACACTCACCAAAATGGCAAGCAATTGCTAAATTGTAAGGAAATTGGAGCTGTCATATTTTATTGGTCACATTAAAATCATGTAACCAATTTGGAAAACAATTGGTGGTAATTCTTCCGTGTCAAATGTAGAGTTATCGTATAACCTAGCCTGTTATATTAATACAAAACTTGTACATGGATATTAATAGCAGCCATCTTCATGGGGTGCAAAAAGTGTAATGTCCCCCATTCATAATGAATAAATGAAATGATAACCAAATTTGACTTATCTTAGCTATGGCATATTACTTAGTATTAGATAGTTTGGAGTATTGTTACCTGTTCCATACAGTTTGGATGAATATTGGAAACATGGAAAGAGAAAAAAACAACATATATGATAATTGATTGTTGCCCAGAAAAATAAAATATGCTGATGCAAAAAGATTAGTGTTTGCTTAGAATTAGAGGTCGTGAGGGACGTGGAGAATGACAATGAATAGGTTGGCACTTTTAGATGATGGAGTGTTGTAATTTAGATTGTGGTGTGTGTTGGATACCTCTGGGAATTATATCTAAAAAATCTATTTAAGGCATTTCTAAAAACTGGAATGTTCAAAACAATGCAAAATAAAGGCATATTTCCTTATATATTAATTAATACCTGTAATTGAAATATAGTATGTGGCCTTTTTTGTCACTGTCAACCTAATAAGAGTGTTTTTGTCACCGTTTGAAAACATACTTTCTAACATAAGTAAGGTGGTATTTAGGATAACTGTAGAACTAAGAAGCATTTAGGCAAACATTTTCAGACATAAATTATTTGTGTGTCTATTAGAGTGAAATAGCTACAAGTTAATGTCAAGTTTGTTTTTAAAAAGATGTATTTATTTTATGTGTGAATGTTTTGCCTGTGTGTATGTGAGTGCACCATGTGTGTGCCCTATGTAAGCCTGGTGTCTTCAGGGATCAGAAGAGGGCATTGGGTCCCCTGGGTTCTGGAGCTATGGATGGTTGTAAGCCATCATGTGCATACTGAGAATCAAACCTGAGTCTTCTTTAAGAGCGACAGGTTAACTGCTGAGCCATCTCTCCAGCACGAATGCCCCATGGAAATATAGATGTTAGTGGTAAATGGCCAGCCCAGTGAAGGCAAGCAGGTCCCTAGAGAGTGGATATTCCTGTGTGCCTGCCAGTGCTGTAGGATCCTGGGAGGACCTCAGTCTTCCTTTTGTCTCTTTTCTGAGCACAAATGGCTGGAGAATGGCCTATTGATTGCCTCTCTTAGGAGGAAGGGAGGAACTGGGGGGGGCTGGAGGTTAAGTGCAGCTCATATTGTACCCAAAACCATACTCCAGGTATAATATAGTGCACTGTGCTTTTTTTTACTTCATACGTTTGGAACATTTCTAGTTTAAAATAAAAGGAGAAAATAGGTTCTGATGAAGTGTAGGCAGTAGTTTCTACCGAATGAGTTAGGTGTGTAGATTCTGAGTAACTGCTAGCAAAAGGCCAGCATGGCTGTCTTGGTTCTGTGCCCTGTCTGACTTGGGAGCAAGCTGTGTTTTTTGTTTCTTTTTTCAGGTTTTTTGAGACAGGGTTTCTTCGTGGAGCTTTGTAGACCAGACTGGCCTCGAATTCACAGGGATCCGTCTGGCTCTGCCTCCCAAGTGCCACCACTGCCCAGCACAAGCTGTGGTTTCATGTCTGTCTGTCTGTGTATTCATTCATTTATTCATTCATACATTTTTGAGGAAGGGTTTCTCTGTATACCCCTGGCAGTCCCGCGACTCATTCTGTAGACCACCTTCCTCTGCCTCCCAAGCGATAGGACTAACGGTGTGCACCACTACCACCCGGCTCGTTTGCTTGTTTGAGAGTCTCGGTTGGGAAATGTGGTGCTGAAAAGGATGTGAGAAGGCCACCCGGGTACTGAGGGAGGCAGGATGCTGCACTGCCAGCACCCCAGCAGGTGTTCTTTTCTGTTCTCCAGAGGTCCCTCTTCACATCACTGGCATCCTCCTCATTACTCTGTCAAGTAATTTTTCTATAGAGCAGTAGAAGACACTCAGACGGAGAGCTGGAACAGAGACATTAAGGAGTTGTAGGTAGAATCATGTCTGCTGGTTTTAAAAATGAAGCTTTGGCTCCTGCCAGAAAAGATGATACACGCCTTGGTTGCATATTATGATCAGATCCCTGGAGGAGCCATGGAGAAGGGGAGATTTTTAGACATACATGCCTTACCATTGATACTTGCAAGTGAAGTGTATTGTAGAACAACCCTCCCCCAAATAAACAAAAACAAACAACTGATCCTGAGCAAATACTGGTGATTAAAAGCACAGTTTGTGGCATGATGGACTGGTTGTGATAATAATATAAAGTTTGAAACAGAATTTCTGGGAGTTTCGTGTGCAAAAGCATAAAAGGTGAGGAGGATGGAATTTAAACTTTTGTTAGCAGACTCAGGTCTGGCCACTCACCTAAGCTAATACTTAGGAAGGAAGTTGGTTTTATTCAAGATCTGGCATTCAGGGCCAGGCATGGGAGCATACACCTTCGATCCTGGCACTTACGAGGTTGAGGCAAGGGGTGTGTTCAAGACCAGTCTGGCTATAGAGCAAGCATTTGACTTTAGAAACAAAACAAAACAACAGAAACAGCGTTGGAGAGATGGCTTACTGGTTAAGAGAATTAACTGCTCTTTGAGAGGACCTGAGTTGGCATTCCCAGCACCCACATGACAGCTTATAACTATCTGTAACTCCAGTCTTTGAAGCTATGGCACCCATTTCTGGCTTTCTGGGTCACCAGGCTCTCAAGTGGTACACAGACATAAATGCAGGTAGAACATGTATATATATTAAACAACAATAACAGCAAAACCCAACATCCTCAAAAGATGGGTAGCTGCTGTCTCAGAGCTCCACCTTTTGAATATAATAAATATTTTAATGATATATATGCATACATACATACATGCATGCATACATAGCTTTACTTGAGGAAAAAAGTCTGAGTTAGGCATGGTGGCTCATATTTGTAATCTCAGCACTTGGGAGGCTGAGGCTGGCCTGGCCACCTGAGTGTAGAGACAGATCCTAGCCAGAAACAAAGCCAAAAAAAACCTGGAACACTATACATACGTGTGAATGATCTGGATCAGGCGTTCGTGATCCCATCATTTGACAGACAGTTTGGAGGATTGCTGCAAGTTTGAGAGCAACCTTATCTGCATACTGAGTTCTGGCCAGTCAGAACTATGTAGCTAGCCCCTGCCCACCCTTGCTCCCTTCCTAAAATAAAATAGAATAAAATAAAATAAAATAAAGGTTGGGAGAGAGGGGAAGAGTTAAAGAAAAAGGATGCAAAAGATAGCAGACTGTGGATGATTTCAGTTATCATTTTAGTGTTAAAATATAAGGAAAGTCAATCTCCCAGTGGTCTTTTTTTTCCTTTTCTTTTCTCCTCCCTCCCTCCCTCCCTCCCTCCCTCCCTCCCTCCCTCCCTCCCTCCCTCCCTCCCTCCCTCCCTCCCTCCTTCCCTCCCTCTTTCTTTCTTTCTCTCTCTCTCTCTCTCTCTCTCTCTCTCTCTCTCTCTCTCTCTCTCTCTCTCTCTCTCTCTCTCTCTTTCTTTCTTTCTTTCTTTCTTTCTGAGACAGTATTTTTCTTTGTAGCCTTCCTTAGCTGTCCTGGAAGTGCTTTGTAGATCAGGCTAGTCTCTAACTCCCTTGCCTCTTGAGTGCTGGGATTAAAGGCCTGCACCATCACCACCCAGCTCCCATGAAGTAGAAATAAGCTGAAGTAAAGTTGAGTTCTAGAAAATGATTGACAGGTGTACACTCTATTCTCATGTTTGTGCAGTCCCTTCTCACAGAAGGAAGAACTAAAAACCACTGCTTTTTAATCGACAGATCTCCCTCGGACATGGCAACAAGCAGCTTTTCCTTTGTACCATGTGACAGCAAACCGGCATCCAGACAGCTTGGAGCATCTGCTGTGGGCAGGTGAGGACAGTTGGGGACTCTTAGGGGACTGTAGTACACCAGTGAGGTGGGGGTGGGCCTAGGCAATTATAGTGCCCATTTTGCAAGGTAGAGAAGAAGATGCATGCATGGGGACTCCATATATACTGTTGAAACAGGGGAGAAGGGACAGGAAAAAAAAAAGCTGGGAATCTTTCTAAACCCCACCCTTCTGCTTCCTGCATCTTTCTCCATGTCCTTGGTCCTCCAAAACCTCTATGGCTAATTTTGGTCAACTAGTAGCTAGCTCTGCCCCCTGATTCAAAGTAAACCTTATTGGCAGTCTTGGGAGTGTCAGAGTTTGATCAGAATATCCCACAATGGGTTGCTTTATTTGTTTTCGTGTTTGTTTCTTTGTAGCTGGGCAGGTTTGATTTCCTGATCCTTCTACATGGCATCTGGGATTACAGGCATGGGCTACCACATCTGGTCCATAATAGATTTTAAAACTAATGTGTTACTCTTACTCTTCTTTCTTTTATTTTCTCATGACCTTAGCTTAAAAATGCATTTTAAGAAATATAATCACTGTTGCCTGGCGGTGGTGGCACGCACCTTTAGTCCCAGCGCTCTGGAGGCAGAGGCAGGCGGATCTCTGTGAGTTTGAGACCAGCCTGGTCTATAAGAGCTAGTTCCAGGACAGACTCCAAAGCCACAGAGAAACTCTGTCTTGAACCCCCCCCCCAAAAAAAAAGAAAATATAGCCACTGTAGAAACTCAGGAGCCACAGAAAGCACAAAGAGAAGGAGATTGATACCAGAATTTGTAGTCTCAGAATTACTAAATTGTTTACATTGGGATCATATTACATTGTTCTGTAGTCTGCTTTTTAAACTTACATATCATTATATTTTCTTCTTTTTTAATGATAATGTATTTTTATTTTATATTGGTGTTTTGCCTACATGTGAGTTATATGAGGGCATCAGATCTTGGAGTTTATAGACAGTTGTGAGCTGCCGTGTGGGTGCTGGGAATCAAACCCAGGTCCTCCGGAAGAGCAGTCAGTGCTCTTAACTGCTGAACCATCTCTCCAGCCTTGAATTATATTTTTCATTCATAATAGATATTTTTACAGTATCATATTTGTCAATTAATTTATTCTTTTTTTAAGTGTGTGTGTGCATGTGTGTGTGTGCACGTGTGTGTATGTATGTGTGTGCACGTGTGCATGTGCTCTAGTGCGCATGTGTATGTGTATGTGTGTGCATGTGTGGGTGCTGGTGTACCGTGATATTGAGGTCAGAGGACAAGCTCATGTGTCAATCACACAGGATGTCTTCTGTCAGCTGCTTAGCTGCTAACTCCAGCCTAGCTGTGCACAGCCTCTGAGGGATTTGCCTGTGTCCTCTTCCTGTATCACCACGGCAGTGCTTGGCTGATGAGTCATTGCATCCGGTTTTCATGGGCTCTGGGAATCTGAACTCTTGCCAAGTCCTGTATCCACTGAACCATTTCCTTGGCCCTAATTTGTTAAAGCAAACAAACAAACAACCCGACTCTCTTTATTGAGGGCAGCAGGATGCAAACAATATAAAAACCCAAAGCCTCTTTGTCCATGAATTCACTTTTCTTTCTCTGCTTGTTGAATTGGAGTTGGATGTTATCGCACATTTCCTGAGGGTCCTGATCAGTTCCTGAGAAGCAGTGAGGCAGGTTCCTCAAGGGGCCCTGTGGGAGGGAGGACCAGGGCTCCATGTGGCCTGCTTCTTCCCCTTCTGCTTCACATGTGCTACAAAATAGTCATTGCAAGCAATGATAAGCTCTGCAACCAGTGATGAAAGCTTTGGAAGCCACTTTGCCATCTCGGCACTGGTCCAGGTCCTTCAGTGTTTTGTCCACAGCCAGGGGGTCCTTTTGATTTTCCAAAAACCCAGGCAACTCCCTTTCCATGAGCACTCTAAGGTCCTCCTTTGCCCCCGCAAATCTGTGAAATGTAAGCATCATGGTTTCCATGACATGCTCCATCTGAGGCAGCATCTTGAAGAGGTCTGTTGAAACCAGAGCCCTGAGGTGCAGTAGTCTCTGGGAGAGCTAGACACACAGCCGTAATTTGTTATTTTATGAATTTCAAGTCATTTTTGTTTTGTCTTAATACCTGTGAAAAAGTACTTTTTGTCTTTTTTTTAAAAATTTTTTGAGGCACGATTTCTCTATGTAGCCCTGGGTGTTCTGAACTCACGGAGATCCTCCTGCCTTTGCCTTTTGAGTGTTGGGATTAAAATTAAAGGTGAGTGCCACCATGGTCTGCCTAAAATCATGTATTTGTTTATTTATTTATTTACTTGTTTGTTTATTTATTCTGTTCTTACTTACAGGTTTGTGGAGCTTTTAAGTTTAATATCGGGTCTTCAGTTTAGATTTCACATTTGGAATTAGATATTTACAAGTGTGTTCATTATACTCATGAATTTGGTAAATTGTCTTAGTATGGTAGGGGTTGAGGGATGGAGATGAAGTTGGAAATAACTTGTAAGAAGCTTAAAATTATTTTCCACATTACTTTAAAAATTCCAAATGTTCCTACTCATGGAAATATGAGGGGTTTTTCCTAGAAAGAAATACTCCCTTCTCATAGTTATGCTCTGATTCTTCTGTTTCCTAGGCAACAATTAAGTCAACATTTATAAAGCTGTGTTTAAAAGCTGCAGTAAAATAAAATAACTGAAAGCAGTGGTAAATAAGGCCATAGCTTGACTGAGGCTGTGGTCCAGGATTCTTAACTTGAACCCTTGTCCACAAATGCTATTTCTGGGAGACAGCATAAAAGGGGGAGTGGCTGGAGGGAGAGGTGTGATGGGAGGAGTCTTTGGGAAGAGGGAAGGGTTGCTGAGAGAATGGGGGCTCTAGCAAGAGTCACAGACATGGGGAGGGGGTGTGAGACTGAATAGTGGCCACAAGATGGGCCAGCCCAACTGCTTTTGGCTCTGTGATCATGGGAGGGAAAGCACGGCAGGGCAATATCGCACTTAATGTCATGACCAGGGAAGGAGACAGGAGGAGGAAGCCAGGGCACCACAGCCCCCTTCAAGGGCATCTGTCCATCACCTAAAGACCTTAGAGACTCTACCATCCCCAGATAACACCTTTAACACCTTAGCACACGGGTCTTTGGGGACATCCCATATGTGAGCTATCTGGTAGGACACAGAGCAAGCCTGAGGGAAAGTTATTTCTTGTTTAGTTTGCTCAAGTAAAAAGGAGTGAGATTTGTGCATATGCCTGAGTCGGGAAGAGCAAAGGTTAGAGGTGGACATCCAGGAACATGTGGAGTTCAAATGTGAGAAATTGTGTAGAGATGCTTTTTTTTTTTTTTTTGGTGGTAGTAACACCCGCAGATTGTGTAGCCTTAGCAAAACTAAATGTCCCCACCCTGCTCATCAGAAGATCAGAAGTCCGTGGCCTTTCAGAAGTCTGTGGGCGTGGCTGGTACCAGTTAGGTGGCACAGGAAGTAACCAGCTTACTGCCTTGTTGCTACTCCTTGGAGTGCCACTCCCCACAAATACCTGCCTGCTTCTCCAAACAGTGCTGTAAGGCAGGCAGGGTCACCATTTAATAAACTCGAAACACTAGGGGTGTCACATGAGTTGATGGAGGTCCTGCAGCTAGGCAGTGGCTGGAAGGCTCCTCCCTCATTTCTAAGCAGAGTGCCTTTTGTGATTCTATCTGCCCTGGTGATTAGCCTTCTTGTTTGTTTAGTCTTAAATTATTTTGATGGTGCTAGTTTCTTCTGACCCTTAATAGAGAACCTTCTCATAGAAGGTTCTTGATGCCTAGAGAAGTATCTGGCTACTAGCTAAGATGCTTTGTGGCTCCAAAATTCTTTGAGTTTGTATTTATTATGAGTATTTTTAAAGGGGACCAGTGATGAAATTATGGATTTCTGTAAGTTTTATGCTTATCACCTCTAGTTCCTTTTTTTTTTTCCTTTTTTTTTTTTTTTTCTTGAGACAGGGTTTCTCTAGCTTTGGAGGTTGTCCTGGAACTCACTCTGTAGACCAGGCTGGCCTCGAACTTGAACAGATTCACCTGCCTCCCAAGTGCTGGGATTAAAGGTGTGTGTAGCAGACTAGTTGCTGAAGTAGTTGTGCTAAGCACTTTGGAAAAATGAGGGCGACTCCTTATTGGCAGACTTTCCCATCACTTCATCCTCTTACTGCATCCCATAATTAGAGAGGAGACATGCTGTTAGGGCTGCACACAGGTATTTTTCCATGGAAGTGGGATGTTGGGAAGGTTGTTCATTTTCAAATCTCAAGGATAAAGTGTGTCGTAGTTGTTTGATGTACTGTATGTGTACAAAAGCAGGAGTCTGAGGTCTTAGGCTAAAGGGATGGAGAGAAGCCTTTTATAGATCTGCTTACTCCTCACTTGCCAGCATAGGTACCTCCTCAGCCCCATGTGGGTACAGAGCAGGCTAGTGTCTGTTATTAATGAAGGCTGCTTTGGGGAATCTCAGCAAATGAAGGCGATGATGAGAACCGAGGAAGCAAACTTCCAGGGGCTGTTGAGTAGGATGAGGACCCAGACGGCTAAGTCATTGATTGAGGCACGATTTTGAGTAGAGGCTCGTGTGAGGCGAGAGAGCTTGTTTGAGTTGTTTGGGGAAGAAGGCAGGACACAGAGACTCACTGCTTGTTAAGAGCATAATTTCAGGGTTGCAGGGTGTAAAAGCTCTGGAGATAGCCCAGCAGTGTGGCTATACTGGGTATTTATTACTGGACCATACTCTTTAAGTGGTTATAGTACTTTATTAACATTTTATTTTCTTATGTATTATACTGTTATTTTAAAAAAAGCATGAAGGATAGATTGCCCAGACCATTGAGCCTAACCCTTTCTCCTTTTGAATTAATATGTTCATTAATCTATTTATTGTGAGTTTGTGGGAGGAGGAGTTTTACATGTGGCACCCACAGGACAACCTCAGCTGTCTGTTTGAGCAAGGGTCTCACTGGGCTTCTCCATGCAGTGGTGGGTC